CTTTCAAAGTTGTTTTGTATTTCTTTGTGGTTTGAGATCATTGTCCTTTGAATTGATTGCAGCTTATCATATACAGTATTTCCTCTTGTATACATTGTTTCTGTAAGTCTCACTTTATCTAAACAGCTGTGTTTATTAAGACTTTGAAGACCACAGGCAGAGATTTTATAATCTTCATCCACCAGTAGGTGTCAGCATTGGATCATTTTTCAGTTCTTTCTAGTCTTTTTCCTCCTTAATGAGTTAGATTCACCACTTCCAATAGCCAAAAGGGTGGGGAGGAAACCCCTCCCTTTTTCACTCTCGGAGGTATTTTTGCTTCTTGGGAGTTCTGCTTTTCAGGAAAATAAGTAGGATAGAGAAAATCAGTTCTTACCCAGCTTCAAACGCACTGTTCACAATCAGCTTATAGTAAAGCTTTTGACTTCCGTTGCTTGCAGCTGGGGCTAGACAATGGAGTTAGCTTGCCTTTCCCCTGTTGGTTTCTGGGAGGCTTCTCCTGGACCGATTGGGGAGACCGCTATCTCTCCTAGGTCCCTAGGACTACCTTTCTTCATTGCCACCTCTCCGGGGCGGCTTCTGGCCCATTTAGGGTCCCCAAACAGGAAGAAACTCAGCTGAAGAGCTCGGCATTCCGAATCTCTCAGCTGATTTCACTGCTCACAGGAACCGGAAGCCTTTTATTTCTGAAATTTTTGTTAAAGAGATTTTTCCAAGTCATAGAATAAGTTATTGTTAAAAATGTTCATTTCAAATTATAATTACAGATATTGTGGCTGAAGATTTTTTTCAAAAAAATTGAACTATGTTCTGCTATTATACACACACACACACACAATGTATGTGTCTGTGTGTATGTGTGTTTATATAAATTTAAAGTGATTTTCTGTAAGACTAAAGTAATTAAAATCTCCCATTCAAGTTCTGATACTTCTCTTCCTCTACTTCCCCAAATAAAAATACACCAGACATGTCAAACACAAGGCCCGGAGGCCAGATGCGGCCCGCGAAGTGGTTTCATGTGGCCCGTGAAGCCATCCTGGAAACAGTGAGAGAACAGCCCCCACTGCCTTGGCCCTGGCCCAGGCCGGCCGGGAGCCAATGTACAATTTTGTGGTGGCCATCTATGCTGAAATGCATTCAGTCTTAGCTCCACAAGGCCGTCTAGAAACAGCGAGAAACCAGCCCCTGCTGTGTTGGCCCCGCCCCCTGGGTGCATGCTGGGGAGGTGTCACCCTTTGTGAGGAATGAAAAAATGGACCATGCCTTGGCGCTTGCCCCGGTCCCACCCCCCTTCTGCCAGAGACCCTCAGATCTGTCCCACTCCTGCCCAGGCCCCCACAGGCACCCTTGATGCGAATGATGTAGAGCTGGCCATGCCCACCCAGTAGGCCGCACCCACCCTGGCCACACCCACCCAGCCCCCCGAGGGCAACCACAATGCTGATGCGGCCCTCAATGAAATTGAGTTTGACATCCCTGAAATACACCAACACACACAGAGACTCACCAGCAGGATATAATTCCAAATGTTTTCTTAGTACATAGTACATAGAGAATCTTTTAAAAACTTTTCTAAACTTTGGACACTATTCTTGGCTATTCAGTAAAACTATTTGCAAATAAAAATGTTTCCAAGTAGACTAAGACAAAGCACCATATCCAACGTAGGTTTTTTTAAAAAAAATCTATTTTTTTTATTTGAATGGATGTTTCCCTGCTAAGCTTTGCAAAGCATCCAAAACATGTTAGTGCAAGTGAAGTACCTGTCATCAAAACATTAAAAACTGCTGTATCATTTGGAAGGCTCATTCAACTTGTTCAAAAGCTGTCTTCCAATGACTAAATGCAGAAACCTACTAAACATATGACCATTTCAAATGATAATCCTTAATGCTTTGAAGAGAGATGCTGATTTTAAGATACAACAATTGTGGCCTATGTCCTTTGAATGCTTACACAGTGCTATTCCATATACCATCTATAAACACAGTATGCTCCTTAAAAATAAACAGGATAATTCTGAATAGTATACCTGCTTTACTATTCCAAGCAATCCTAATTAGTTTTTATACTAAAATGTATAAAAACAGAGATAAATTTTGTTCCAAGTAGTGATTGGAACTGCATAAATATTCAGTCTGAAGGTGATTAAAAGACAATACTATGGATTCTTAAAAGTATATTAAGCTTTCAAATCAAAATGAGACTTCATTTAATAGCTGATTTAGACAACTTGGAATCAACCACAAATATATTTCTAATATAAAAATTAGTCTAATTCAGATGTCCAAATAGAAAAATCAGATCAATATAATGACAGAAACTGAATGGATGGTGTGAATTTGATCAGACCCAATCTAGACAGTATTTGTGTAACAGTGACATGGACTAAACTTAAAAAAAATCAGTTTACATTATCTAAACACCATTTTTCTTTCATTTTAAACTTTATTATACATCATACACATACATAAAAAAGTACTGTTGTCAAGTCATTACAAAAGAAAAAAGATCAATCTAGTAGGTCTTTTTTCTCCAAAACATTATTTTCAGGCTGAAAACCATTTTTACCAGTACAATAATTTTTAAACAAAAGTAGTCAACCAGCTTGCAAGCGGTGAGGATTATAAGATAATTTAAATGGAGCAACTGAAGTAACTTTTCATACCCAGAACAAATTGTGCTATGAAAAACTGGCAATGAATTGTTGAGAATCATTAATGTAATGTTTCCTAAATTTCTAAATAAGTTGCTATGTAACAATAAAATAGACAATGTACATGAGATAACAAAATAAATTCTCAGAAAGCTGTTTTTTTTTAAAGGAGCCTTCTTAGACATGACATAATTGCACCAATTCCCTCATTTTAATATTTAAAATATTATGCTAGGTGCAAATGGATTACCTTCTTCTATTTTAAATTATGATTTTTTTAATAAACTTTATTCGTTTTTAAAACATAAATCACATAATAGTTGATTAACAGTGTGTTTGCCTGGCTTACATTTATAAAGGAAAATTGTCAACAATATCTATAATCCATAATCCATGTATTCACACAAATGTTTATTTTTTCTTTTCCCCCCCCATAGATATTCTCTCTGATAGTTCCCGTCCTCAATATTCTTAATTTTCACTTTAATATTTAAATATTTTCCCTTTAATCAGTAACATGCTTGATCAATGTGTTTCGCTGAATTGGAGCGTTTTTCCCTCTATTTTTCCCCAACCAATCATACAATTTGTTCCAGATTTCATAGTAATCTGTTTCATTCTTATCCTTAAATTCTAACGTCAACCTATCCATTTCAGCACAGGATAAAATCTTATTTATTACCTCTTCTTCTGAGGATGTCTCACTGTCTTTCCATCTCTGTGCAAAGACTAATCTTGCTGCTGTTAGCATGTATAATAATAGGTATAAGGATCCTTTATTGTATCTATCTTTAGCGATACCCAGCAAAAAGAGTTCTGGTTTTAGCTCAATGTTCTGCATTAGTATTTCTTCTAACCACTGTTTTATTAAATGCCAAATTTTTTGTGCTTTTGAACATTCCCACCACATATGGTAATAGGTCCCTAGTGATTCTTTACATTTCCAACATTTCAGTGAGGTCTTTTTGTCCATTTTGGCTAATCTCACAGGGGGAAGATGCCACCTATAAAACATCTTGTATAAATTTTCTTTGTACGCAGTAGCTAGTGTGAGCTTCCTATTCCTTTCCCATAAATCCTGCCAATTATCTAAGTCAATACCATAGCCGAAATTTTTACTCCAAATTAACATTGTGTCTTTTATTTGCTCTTCCAACATATCCCATTCCAATAAATATTGATATATCCTTTTTATCTCTTTTTCCATTCCTAATAAAAATTTATCTAATTCTGTATGCTCTAATTTTATTCCACATTCTTTTTTATCCTTCATATATCATGATTGAATTTGAAGGTATGCCCACCATTCAAGTTCTATCCCTTCTTCTAGTAACTTTTTCCTCAATTTTAATTCTCCTCCTTCGTCCAAGATGTCTTTATCAGCCTTTCCTGATTTCATAAAATTTGGATGTATGAATATCTCCAATGTGGATACCCAATTAGGGATTTTCATGTAATTACATTTTTTAATTCTGACCCATACATTTAGTAGTGCCTGTCTGATATAATGTTTCTGGAAGTACTGGTGAGCCTTGTGCTTTCCTTCCCAAAGAATTGCGTGCCACCCTGTCTGCATATCGTGGCCTTCTAAGGCTAATAATCTCCTATTTCTCAGATGTATCCACTCTTTCGCCCAAGTAAGCGTAGCTGCTTGATAATATTTTTCCCAATCTGGGAGGCCGAATCCACCTCTTTCCTTCGAATCCTATAGAAGTTTGAATTTGATTCTCGGTTTTTTCCCTTCCCAAATAAATTTAGATATAGTTTTATTTAAGTTTCCAAAAAACTCCTTTCCTAATTTAATTGGTATACATTGGAATAAAAAAAGTAATTTAGGTAGTATGTTCATCTTTATTATTGCAATTCTTCCCATGAAAGAGAGCTGCAAATTTTTCCAACTATCTAAATTCATTTTAATTTGATCAACTAATTTATTATAATTATCTCCTTTAAATGTAGCACATCTCGCCATCAATTGAATCCCTAGATATCTTACCTTCTTTGTTAACTGAATGTTTAATTTCTCAACTAGCTCAGTTTCCTGTAATTTCGTCATATTTTTAACTAACATTTTAATTTTTTTCTTTATTGATTTTTAAACCTGCTACTTCTCTGTATTCTCCCAATACTTCCAACAACCTTACACCAGACTTCAAGGGCTCTTCCATGATAAAAACCAAATCGTCTGCATAGGCCTGTAACTTAAATATTTCCTTTTTAGTTTCTAAGCTTTTAATTTGTTCTTCTTTCCGAATTATTCTAGTCAAGAATATTCTAGTCAAGAATTATTCTAGAGATAGTACAAATAGTAGTGGTGATAATGGACAGGCTTGACTTGTACCTTTTTGTATTTGGAAACTTTTAGTGGTTTCTCCATTTACTACTACTTCTTTCGCTTCCTGTTTTGCATAAATTGCTTTGAACATATTTATAAACTTTTCACCAAATTCCATATATTTTAGCTGATTCAACATAAAATCCCATTTAACATTGTCAAATGCTTTCTGCGCGTCGACAAAGACAAGTATCATCTGTTTTTCATTATGGGTCTCGTAGTATTCCAACATGTCTAGTACAATCCTGACATTATGTCTTATCTGCCTCCTGCCTCCTGCCTCCATTTTGATCAGGGTGAATAAATTCAACCAGAAACCTTTTCAATCTTTCTGCCATTATCGCCATAAAAAATTTGTAGTCCGAATTAAGTAATGGTATGGGCCTGTAGTTTTGGATAAGGGTCAAATCAAAGTTTTCCTTAGGTATTAATGTAATAATTGCCTCTTCCCATGAGGTCGGGATCTTTGCTTTTTTTAACACTTCATTAAATAGATCTAGTAAGATTGGACCTAAGAGTTCTTGGAGGTTCTTATATATTTCAGATGGTAGTCCATTTGGGCCTGGTGTCTTATTACTTTTTTGCTTTTTGATTGCCTCTGTAATTTCTTGAAGTGTTATATCCTCGTTTAGGAAATTTTGGACTTCTTCTGGGACCTTCGGAAGGTCGGCTTTCTGGAGGCATTATCTTCACTAATACTTTCTTCGTCTTTATAAAGTTTCCTGTAAAATTCATATACCATGTTTTTTTCCCTTTACTCTGATAGATCTTCTCCCCCTCTTCGTTACATAATTTACTAATCCATCTTTTGTCTTTTCGTTTCTTTAGTCTGTGGGCCAGACATCGCCCAGGTTTATTCACGTGTTCAAAAAACTTTTGTCTCTTTTAATTTTTGCGCCAGTTCCTCCTTCTCCATAATGTTCAGTTTGTGTTTAATTAGATCTAATTGTTGTTTCAGATCCTGACTTTGCGGTTTTATTTGTAGTTGTATTTCCAATTTCCTATGTTCTTCCTCTAAACTTTTTTGGCGTTGCTTTTTTTTCTATTATCACTGGCCATATACGCAATTGCAACTCCTCCCATGACTGCTTTAGCCGTGTCCCATAGGTTTTGGCTGTTCGTATCTTCTTTATTTGTTTGGAGGAACATACGCATTTGCTCCTCCATCTTGCATTTAAATTCCTTCTGATTCAAAATTACTCTTTTTAGGGTCCATCTCCTTCTTGTCTTCTGTCCTTTCCATCAAATTATAACTGCATTATGGTCTGCCCATAGATTTGTGTCTATTGTGACATCTCTATTTCCAGGTTTAGTTCTTTTGATATCCAAGTCATATCAATTCTAGACCACGATAGATGGTGACGAGAGTAGTATGTAAATTGTTTTGATTTCAGGTTTCTCTCCCTCCAACTATCCAATATATTAAATTCTTCCACCATTTTGAAGAAGGTACTGGGTAATATTCTTCTAATTCCTTTCCTTGTTGTGCCGCTTTTATAATCTAACTCTCTATCCACTATTGCATTAAAATCACCCATTAAGCAAATATTCCCATTTTCAATTTCTCCAACAGCCTTATGCAATTTTTTATAGAATTGTTTTTGTCTTTCATTTGGGGCATAAATTCCAATGAGGGTTACCTTTTTTGATTCAGAAGAACCTTGATTATTAATATTCTACCCTCTTCGTCCTGATCAATTTGTCTTGTCAAAATTCCTTCCCTAATATATACCACTATTCCTCCTTTTTTCTGTTGTGATGATGACATGAACATAGTTCCTAGTTTGAGATAATTCAATAAGTTTTGATGTTGCCTATTTATGTGTTTCTTGTAAAATTATTATATCCAGATGCATTTTGTTAAGCTTATCGAAAATTTTACTCCTCTTTGCGAGAGAGTTTAAGCAATTTAACATTTAAAGATAAAATCGCTATTTCTTCCATATCACTGCTTGTATTTCAATCTAGTCATCCTTGTTAGTTTGCTCTCTTTAGATTCTTTAAATCTACTCTCATCGCCATTTCCATTTTCCGCTTTTTTCCCTCTCCCAGTTTCCTTTTCTATACTTTGTAATTCCCTTGTTTCTATCACCTTTTCTCCTGTAGCACCTTCTCCTCTCGGTTCTTTTATTTCTGACTCTTCTTCACTACAGAAATATTGCCTAAAGAATTCTTCTGCCTCATCTATTGTATCTAACCTGTATCTTTTTTCTTGCCATGTCACCATAATGCCTTCCGGCGTCAGCCACCTGAAGTTAATATTTTGTCTTGTTAGTTTAGATGTTATGTGTTGATACAGCCTTCTTAAATATCTTACCCTTCTAGGGGTTTGTTTAAGAACAACTAGTTGTTTTCCTCTAAATTCTATCAGATCGTCTCTAGTTCTGTATAAAATTTCATCTCTAACCGATTTTTTGACAAATCTAATATGAACTTCTTTGGGCAGATTGTGTCTTCTCGCGTAATTAGTATGGATCCTATATATTTCATCCATCTCATTCACCATTTCTTCCCTCCTACTTCCTAGGGCTTCTGCTAGCAAATTTGCCATCATTTCTGGTAGGTCTTCCCCTTTCTCTTCTCTCACATTTTGGAAACGTAGATAGTGGTCTGCTTTCTTTGTTTCGAGTGAAATGACTGTTTTTTCTAATTCTTTATTAGCTTGTAAAAGTTTTTCGTTCATTTCATCTACCCTTTTCTCCTCCTTATTCATTCTTTCTTTCATCTCTAGTAATTTCTGTTCGTTTTTTTAAGATTTGTTGTTGAAAGCATTCAAATTTCGCATCCATTGCCCCAATTTTTTTTGAGTTCTCCAGTGTCACTCCTTACTTCTCCTATTTCTTTTTTCAAGTCTTCATGGTTTCTTAACATTACTTCCTGCATAGATTGTAACATCAATTGCAATTCCTTAAATGAGCTCGCTTTTTCTCATTGCATCATCTCTTCTATTGATCTTTGCCCTGCTGGGCTCAGTTCAACTGATGTCATTTGAGTAATTTGCTTCTTTCCTATCCCAACTCTTGTTAAATTGGAAATACTTGTCATTTTTCAGAATATTGTGAACCAGCCCTCCCACTTATACACAATCCTTGTTTTTCTTTCCAGCACACCTGAGAGGATAATTTGCCTAATTCGTGCCTCCTCTGTCCAAAATTGCCTTTATGGTAAAGTAATATTTTATATTTTCTATCTTAGATAGTGCTAAAATCTTATAAGATATATAACAATCACATTATTAATTCACAGTAATTAATTATCTTATAAATAGTAATCAATATTATGAGTTCATTGGCAGTACAATATACAATTTAACTATTATATTTATAGATGTATTCAACAGAGTATACAAATGTAAAAGGTCTCTCCTTAATTTTAGTCACCAATTTTCTTTCTCTCTGGCACAGTTTTTCTTTTCTTTATTTTATCTCTATGTCTATTTTCTTCTCGGCCAGTAGATGTCTCCCTTCTCCCTTCTCCCTTTCAATGCTGTGCAGCCTTCAACACTAGTTCAAAATGTCTGCTTTCTCTGCTTCATCGGCACTTTTTATCCCTCAGTTTTTGATTTGTTCTGAATTCTTACTTGCTTCTCACGAAAAAAAAAGAAGGGATACTCTTAGACTTTATCCTTTTCAGCCCACGAAGTCCAGCTAGTTAAGGTAAAAACCTCATTTGCCCCAACTTTTCTATCGTCGCTAATCCATGGGGGGGGGGGAAAATTCCACCCTTTTCTTTCTGGGGCTCCTTTTCTCTTCTCCCTCTTTGGAAATCCTCCAGGGCAGTTCTCCCTTCCCAGATCACTCACACGGGGTCGTTGGATATACACACCACCAGACTGTCACACCGTCCCTCCTCTAGTTCTCCGTTGCTTTCTGCACAGTTGGCTGCTGTTATTTCTTAGCAGCCACCATACTTGGCCATCTCCTTCCCCCGTCCGGCTTCTCCAAGGCTTTCCTGCTTTTATTGGACCCGACCGCCATCTAGGACCGCTCCGCAGGATGCCTCTTCCTTCCAATCCCCCTCCGAGGGATCTAGGACTTCAAAAAGCCCACCAGGCGATGGGAAGTGGCTGTAAAAGAGGTACTCTTATCCAGAGTGCCGTCCCGGTACAGCCATTCTCCTTAGCAGCTGCGCAGGCTCCCTGTTTTAAATTATGATTGAATCCTTTTAATAAAAGCCAGAACTTTCTTGAAAATTAAAACTTTTTTTTTGAACTTGAATAATATGAATTGTTTTCAGGAGTTTGGAGCTGGTAGATTTTCGGAACTATTTCAAAAGTTCCAAAAACTTATTTCTGCTAATGTTTACAATTTTTGAAAGCACTCTCTATCAGTCCATAATTTATCTAGAAAATAATGGTGAATAAGGCAATGGTGAAGGTTTGGGCAAAACAGAAATATCTGCCTTTTTGTTTTTTCATCTGTTACAGAGTTCCACAGCAATTATCGTATGGGAACAAGTTTTTCACTAACTTCAGAGTTTACACTATACTTCAATATTACCCAATGGGTGAGGTTCAGGAAAAGTCTTTTCTACTTCTGCCTATTCAAACCACAAACCTTGAAAGAAAAAAACCCCGAGGAACATTATGTGACTCTTCTCTGAAATATTTCCTTCTGTTTGTTAATTAATTCCTCTAAGTTCATACAGAATATATCGGCTGTGGAAAACTAAATTAGTTTACTGGTTTTCAGTACAAGTAGTCCTCATTTAGTGACTGCCTTATTTAACAAATATTTGCAATTATGACAGTGATGAAAAGCTAATTTTAATGATTAATTAATTTAATGATTAAGGCTCAGAATGAACGAACACTTGCAACAGAAATCAAGGACAATAAAAAATTTCTTTCAACATATAAATAACAAGAAAAAAGTCAAGGAAATTGTAGATTCACTGAAGACAGAAGATGGCAAGGAAGTAACAGGCAGTAGGGAGAAAGCAGAGCTGCTTAACTCATTCTTTGCATCAGTTTTCACACAAAAAGAAATTATACCCCAATATACCAAAAAAACTATACTGCAAAAGACAAACTAGAAACAAAAATTAAAATAAGCAAGAAAATGGTAAGAGAACACCTATCCAACCTTGATGAATATAAATCACCGGGACCCGACAGATTACATCCCAGAGTTCTGAAGGAGCTGGCAGATGTTATCTCAGAACCATTGCACCATATCTTTCAAAAATCCTTGAGCACTGGGAAAAGTACCTGATGATTGGGAAAGGGCTGAT